TTTTGATTTTTGTCTTTAAAAGATGTGAAAATGAGGGATTATCTTTTGAATGTCACATTGGTTATTTTGCTTGTAAATTCCTATATTCTTCTTTACTTACTAAAAAGTTTAGGTCCTGAAAGCCTGTTTATAAGCTCATTTGTTCAAAAGTAGGAATTGGGGACCAATGTGAATAAATCCAGAGTTAGCTTTTAAAAGAGCTGTATGTTCTGTTTTTTTTTGCTAATTTTTTGCTTCTTCTTATCACTGTAAACCCTTTCCCTTCTTCTGCATTTAAGAGAAATGATGGAATCAATGTTTGTAGAACCATGCTAAAGCAAGCACAAATGCCGTATAATAAACCAACAGAGGACTTGACAGAGGAGAATGACAGCACACAGCCATTAGTGTCCTTTGATGGTGAAAACACCTCCCCCGCCCCCACTTCTTTATTTTCTTTACAAGTCCTGAAGACCAAATAACAGCAAAGATCTGTTTAAATTGCACCCCTCTTTCACAGTATTCCTACACACGGGCACATGCATGCACACATACCACAGATGCTTTGGAGGTGAGGGGCTGCCTTCCGATTAGTTGGGTTGGAAAATCAGATGGGGACTTTCTAAAACCTGTTTTATGCACGGCAGGCAAGTTGTGCCTTCATTCTCTATTGTCTCTGGCTTCATCTGTAATCAGCAAATGAAAGCCTGCAGCCCTGTAGTGCTTCATCCGCAGCTTTTGCTCTCCCCTAGTTTGCACAACACTGAACCATCTCATTTTCAAATTCAGGAATGGCGGAGGGAACCTTTGGTGGAAGATTGTAATTTGGGAAAAGGGGAAGTACAGAGCAAGATCACCTATTTTGAAGAGGGCTGGGTGTTGAAGGAAATTGCTTTGGTTCATCTGCCTTTGAGCCTCTCAGCATATACGCTGCAGTGACCCTACCTTCCATCACCAGTGACCTAAAAATCACATAATTTCAACTGTTCACAAAATCTATTCCCATCTGTTGTGTATGGCTTGTGTACTTACCCCCTCTATTGCCAGCAAATATGTCTAAGTCTTTTTACCTCACAGCCAAACTTCTGTTGTTGGCTGGCTGGCTTTCTTGCTTCTCCTGTGATTGTCAAATAAATGCCTTAAAGCACTGTTCCAGATCTCTGTCTTATCCTCTGCCCTCCTACCACTTCCCTCCCAATGCTCCTTTGATAAATGCTTCCCTCGCCGTGTTCGGGGCACAGACCTCTTATTTTCAGAAAGCCCTGCAGATAATTCTGATGGACGCTCGCTTTGCCTGAGAATCACTCACCTCCATCATGGTTGAGGAGTGAATTAATAGGCCTTGGAAAATCATCACTCACCGATCCTAAAAAGTGATGTTAGAAACCAGACATTTCCCCTCCTCACGTTATAGCAATATTTCATAGACTGCCCATGTTTCTTTAAGGAAATTCTTAAATAAGTTGCTAAGAGTTTGCTGGTGGCAGGTTGGTGGTGGATATGTACACACGTACACACGCATGTGATCCTGTGCACAGCTCTTTAGAAGACTATAAGGTGAGGAGTTTATAATCTGTCTTCACTTCTCTTTGCTTATAATGGACAGTTTTTGTCCTTTTTTCCCCAGGACAGTCAATGAAAAGTTAAATGATTATTTTACTGTATACATAGTAACAAGTCAGTAAGTGTTTATACAGGAATTGAACAGTGTGGTCTTGTTGATTCAGGAATTGTACTAAAGGGTCTATACAGTAATTTATAAATAAAACTATACTTTGAAAGAATAAAGATAATCTCTAGTCTTTGAAAATATAAACCTTACATAATAAAAAAACTTTTAAAACACTGTTCATTTGTTCTTTACTCCTTAAGCCACCACCTCTACAAACACTTTGATCCTCTCTTCCCCCCACATACCCTCCCGAGTTGAAACTCTGGATAGTAATTGGAGCTCAGATGATTGTAGAGCTGCTGTAAGGCTTTGGCAGGCCTCTCACAAGCTAATGTCGCGGCATGGGGTCCATTTGCTCTGTCGCTATTCTGCAGTGCAGCGAGAATGCCTTGATTAATATGCTACAGGAAAATAAAGTGGATTTGGAAAAAATTATACCATACTCTCATAAATATTAATTCACATTTGTATGGAATTGCACATAATTTTCAATACACTTGGAGTACCTTCAGTATGAAAGATTTTGTCTTCAAAGAGAATGGCCTCATTTTTTTAAAAGCACAGCCCATACGTTATTAAATATCATTTGTTTATTAATCCGATACTCTGCATGCATATGATGCCGGGCAGTGGGTGGGTGGTGTGACACAGAAGGATTTTTTTACCCTGTGGGGAATTTATATATTATCCTTAGAAATGGTGCTGTTGAATCATATTGTATAGGAGCAGCCCTTGTGGAAGTCACCTGGCTGCTTTTGCTAGCGCTGCCATTATACCTGAGTGTCTTCATGCCAGCTGACTCTCCTAATTCCATGTGAGGCTGAGCACTGACTGGTCTGAGCTGAGCAGACATCTGCTGTGGCTGACGGTGGGAGTGGGCACTGCACAAAGGAATGAGGAACGTTTAGCCTGTGTTGGGCACAGGGGACAAGGTTCTGAGACTGCAGTCATTGGCCATGGCACTTGCTTTGATCTCAGCTTGCGCCCTGAACACTTCTCAGCACACCCTTGGTGCCTCAGGAGAGCTGCCTCTGCAGCGGCAGAGGGTAAATCATGTGCAGTGACAGCAGCTGGACGTTAGGCCCGAGGCATGCGTTTGCCTGTAAGGCTGTTACCTTTGGTATCCTTTTGCTCTGAGTACAAGGCCTTTCTCCTTTTCTGGGGCTTTTTGCTGTGTGCTGTGATCCTTCTCATGTGCCAGCAGCACCTGTAGGTGTCTTTGTTTCCTGCTGCCATCAGCTTGTGCAGCCTGCTTCTCCCTGTGTTAGAGGTGGCTTGGGATAGTATCAACTCACAACTGCAGTTGGCAGGTTTGGGTACTTTAACTAGTTGTCTTATTTATTTATTTATTTAGCATATATTCTATCTATCTATCTATCTATCTATCTATCTATCTATCTATCTATCTATCTAATACCTAAATATCCCCACCTATTATTTGTCTGACTATGTGAAGCTCTGGGGTTACTGAGATGAATGATACTTAGTTCTTGCCCTCAGTCTTTCAAGAGATCATGCTACCAGCTGCCTCAGGTCCTTTGCACAAGCAGTTTTCTCTGCTCAGACTTTCAAATCTAGGTGAAATGGCAGTCATCTTTTCAACCACAACCCCTTCCTCTGGATCAAAACATTTCCCCCATTTTAGCCCCTTTTAGAGCAGTCAGTTCAGTTTGCAATTATATATTTGTGTGCTTTGATTGGTATTTGTCCCCTAAATTCTAAGCTCCATGCCTTGGGGATCCCCCCTCCCCCCTACACACAGTTATTTTCTTACCACTATAGGACAGTGCTGTTTGTACTTGGCATATCCTGGGCACACAAAAATTGCTTGTTGAATGAGTGAAGGCCTGAGGACGTTGCTTTTGCCTTATAGAAAGGTCTTCCTGAGCAGGCCGTGCTGCTAAGAGTCCTTAAGCTGGAGAAGGGAGAGTTGTGGAAGGAGGACTTTTGAGGCCAAGGCAAAGCATTGTGATACGAAGGCCCAAGGTCCCAAACTGATGGCGGTGGCTGACTGGGGAAAGACATCAAGGAACACCATGCATGTCAAGTAGGGAGTGCTGGGATGTTGGAAGCAGTAGGACAAATAACTGCCTCAAGGATATTGGCGATGAAGGAAATGAGAAATGGGTAAAGGGAAATGTTTGTTCTGGTTTTATGTCATTTTTAATTGTGCATTTAGGACCACTGACACTGAGAAATTATGCAGGGGTCAGGCTCCACGAAGGAGCATTTTCAGTGAAAGGAGGGTCATATCCACTCATTTACAAAGTATTGAGTGCCAGGTCGTTTTAATTTTAGTGCTTAATGTGTACCGTCTTTCTCAGGGATCAGCGGACATTCCCGTGTATAGAATCAGGTCAACCTGAGCCCACTTCACACATAGCTCAGAGTTGCAGTGACTTATGCCAAGGCTCGTATTGAATAATGTCAGTGTCAGGCTCAAACCCCGGTCTTGTGGGACCGCAGTCTGTCCTTAGCCGCCCGCGGGCACACAGCTCTACTAGATTGTGGCCCAAAGTGCTTGCCTGTAGTTTCTACAGAGCTGCTTCCTGTCCCCCCATAACCCTCTCCTACCCTTTCCCCACCCCCAGCCACACACAGGAATAAATGAAAAGTTGCTTTTGATCTTGGTGACAATATTGTTACATTTTGCAAAGAAGATGGGAATTAAGGATGCTCAGAGGAACTTGTGGTAAAAATGTAATGCATTGAGGAAACATTTTAACCGTGTGCACTCACAATTACCTTCTCGCTGGCTCACATCCACCAGGCCCTGGCACTTTCAGTCCTGTGCTGCTTTTTTGGGGCCGTGTATGCACTTAATACTCCTTTTCCGAAACATAATTGATGTACCACATTGGGAAGTGAATGTATTGAGTCCCCTCAGGGAATATTGTGTGCTGGGCTCCGCCCAGAATCAGATGGAAAGCCGCCAAGACAGCAGCGAAATCACTTCCAATGGATGGATACTTTGTGCTTAGTTGACTTTTTTGCCCAACAAGAATAGAAGGGATATATGCGTAGTGGCATTCAGAAAAACTGAGAGCTCTGTTTTAGTTTTTGGTATTCTCATATCCCGTTTTCCTACCCTTCCCCCTCCCTTTTAAAAAGTAACCCCAGGGGCCGGCCGAGTGGCTCAGTTGGTTAAGAGCTTGCTCAAGAGTTTGAGCTCTGAGCAACAGCAGTTCGAGTCCCGGCCTGAGCTGAGCAGCCGCTGAGCTGCCAACAGGTGGCAGGATGGCTCAGCTTAAAAAAAAAAAAAAAGTAACCCCATTTAGCCTGTATTTTGAGTGTGACCCTAGATGGCTATGTAACCACCACTTCCTTTCCATTCTCTTCTTTTCTACAGAAAGATGTCGCACTTAAGCCTCAAGAGCGTGTGGAGAAACGCCAGACTCCTCTGAGCAAGAAGAAGCGAGAAGCCCTGAGCAACGGCTTGTCCTTCCACTCCAAGAAGAGCCGGCTTAGTCACCCGCACCACTGCAGCTCAGATCGGGAGAATGACCGCAACCTCTGCCAGCACCTGGGGAAGAGAAAGAAGATGCCCAAGGGACTCAGACAGGTGAGGAAGCGTGGGCCAGTCTCGGCTGCGTGGCAGCACCCCTTCCCAGGGGCCTGCCTTCCGTGCTGCTTCTGACAGGTGGACATGTCCTCTGGAGCTTGGTGCTTGGCTTCTAGAGAGTACGCCAGCCCAAGCCAGGGTTTCATTAGGACCGGAAACTGCCTCTTGGTGCCCTTCTGGTCAGCCGTGCCCAGTGTAGCAGAGCTCAGTGCTGCTGCCCCCGCGTTCAGGGCAGACTGCTGAGGGCTTGATGGTGGTCAGGTAGTCTGGTCGGTAAGGGAGCTGTCTCATAATTGGACAAATGGAACAGGCAGGTTTGATTTGTGAATGCGTTGTGTGTTTAGGGTTCTGTGGTGCTAAGCGTGCTGATCCTCCTGTGAGCAGCGCCACGCATGAGATTTGTACCTTCCAGGGCAGCTCAGATATCGTGGCACGTGCGGAGCAGTGGAGAAGGCATGGATCTGCCTACCAGCTTCTTGGTAGCTCTCCATAGAGCCCCTGATTCACGATTGTCTTTGTGATCTGCTGATAGTATGAAGGTCTGGCGGTGGGGCCTGCTGGTCTGTTAATAACTCGGTTTCGGTGATCCACAAGAAAATATAGCTTCTGGCATTTGGCGAGCCTTTCTGCCTGTGGAAATCCTCACAGGAGGCAGATTCTTAATGAGAAGTGAAGCTGCTTGTAGCAGTGTTTCTGCACAAATCCGGAGGCTTTAGTGCCTGCTGACTTACCTGTGTCCTGGGTGTGTTGTGTTTGTTTTTGGCGGGACCACGGGGTGGGGCTGACTCTTATTTGAAGGGAGCATGGCACAGAGCAGGTGCTCTAATTAGAAGCTGAAGAGGTAATTTCTGGTTTGCAGATGTTTCTCTGCAGCGGGGAAAGAGGGGGGCTCATTTGAAGCAGGGGTTCCACAACCTTACAGATCATGAGAAACCATATCAGGAGCCTGTGACCACAAGTTCCTGGCCCCTCCCTAGGGCCTCAAGAACCAGAGTCTCTAGGGAGTGAGGCATAGTTGTGCGTAGTCTTAGAAATTTCCTGTTTGGTAATGGACAGGCCAGTTTGGAAATCATTCTTATAAAGCACCAGGAGTGTATTTTGGGTGATGCTTTTTAGTTAGAAGATTGGAAGGACCAAAAGCCTCAACACGACCTAGTGGCCAGTTTTGGGTCCAAGCTCAACCTGGTGGGTAATGAAGGAGACACTCCCGAGAAGACATCTAGCGTGATGCATCTCAGCATGGACTCAGAAGGATCACAGGGACATGTCCCAAAAGGTGACACTGGGCAGTTTGTCTCAAGCTACATGGGTATCCTAAAATGAAATGCCAGGTTGGTGTTATGCTAGCAGTTATTAAGATGCATCTAATATTGGGTGGTCGGAAAAGTCATGACATATTTTTTCTATTTTTCGTTGCAAAATGTGTCATGACTTTTCCGATAACCCAATACATATCGCGTTGTATTCAGTGAGGGTGTTTGTGTAGTAGAATCTGTAATTCTCACACCTCTGGTTGGTAGGTGATGTGGTTATGTTACAGATGGGGAAACTGGGGCTCAGAGAGATAAAGTGACTTGTCTCAGGCCACTTAGCAATGAGGGACAGAGCCAGGGTTTAGGCCCAGATTTCTTTGGCTTGCTGTACTACCCCTGTATGTTCTGCCCATTTTGATTGAGACAAGGATTGGGCATGAAGAGAAAGAGAACTCCAGGTCATAAGAGGTAGGGGATCTACAAATATATCTAGAAACTATTAGAAACTATGTGAGTAGCTTGGTCAGAGGGAATGATTTTGGCCATAGAAATGGCCTATGAAGCATAAGAAGAAACAGGATAAAATACCAAGTTCAGAGAGCAGAGGAAGAGCTGGAAAGTTTGAAAGCAGTCACATTTGGATGAAAGTTTATTTTATTATTATCTGTTTATTTATTCTGTTTTCAAACAGAGTAGGCTGAGGGAGGAAGGGCTAGGTTCTATAAAGGGCGGTGTTCCTGTGGTAATGGTGACCCCAGCTCATGGTGTCTGTGTGAGATGGGTAAGAAAAGCCGCCACTCCCGGTGGAGAGAGGCCGCAGGGTGACCAGCACCTCTCCCCCAGCCTCCCTGCTGCTCACCCTCTCAGGCAAGAAGCCAGTTTGACTCGGAGCCTGCACGAAGCCCTGCTTCCTCGCCCTTGACTCTCTTACTCCCAGGCCTGACCTGACTTTCCTGTTGTCTGTCCTCAAAATTCTTCTTTCTACCTTGTCCTCCCGTGAACGAGTTTATGATCATTAGAGACGGCTGGGACTGTATGTCTGAAATGTGAGTAGCTTTGGGTCCTGAAGATCAGCCTTCTGGGACTAGTGGTATTGGAAATCAAAGCTATCCTTGTTTCGGGTGAAATATTTGAAAAGCAGTGATATCGATTCACTCTTTTTGAATCATGGAGAAGGAAAGAATGAATCTTTGGCCTGTGTAAGAGTTTTAAAAACAAGTGGTGTTTCCTTGTCTTCAGTGTTGATGCTAAAATATACTACCATGTTTTCCCCAAAATAAGACCGGGTCTTATATTAATTTTTGCTCCAACAATCTACATTTATTCATTTATTTACGTGCAAAAAAATCTACATTTATTCAAACAGTTATGTCTGGCTGGCGATCTTAACTGGGGCTAATGTTTTGGGCAGGGCTTATATTATGAGCATCCTGAAAAATAATGCTAGGGCTTATTTTCTAGTTGGGTCTTATTTTTGGGTATCCAAATCAAGTGTTATTTTTCTGATAGCCAGGGAAGCAGAAATTGATAATTGAGATAAAGCTCTAATACTTCTCATTTACAATATTCCTAGAATCACATGTGCTACGATGAAACCCGGAACAAAGTACTGTTGCTGCCCATCTATAAAATGAGAGGCTCGGGCTAGAAGGTGCCTCAGGCCCCTTCCTCTGAGTGCCGTGTTCTGTACATTCATGAGTAACGCAGAGACGTATAGTTGTCGCGGTCTGTAAAGGAAGACCGCACTAGGCCTGAAGGTACTGTAGTTTTGGAGTGTAACCAATTGGCTCTGTAAAGACGTTTCAAGGAGAGGCGTGAGATGCATTCCTAGTAGGAGGGAGAGGCATGGCTAGTTGTGTGTCAGCCCGGACAAGTGCCATCTGTCGTGTGATTGTTGGTAAAAGGTGACACATGAGTGTTTAATGGCCATAGTAGGTGTTCTAAAACGTGTACCAAGAATATTTTCGATGGCTTTCCTATCGTGGTAGATGCCTGTATGCGTTGCCATTGCTTTTCTCCCTGTCTTTGTGTCTTAGTAGATAACGGTAACTGATTCTGACCATCTTAGCTGCGAGGGAACCTGGTGATGAGACGGGCCTTGAGGAGAATTTCTAAATTAATGATTCTGTGCAGTGCCTCTTATTGGGGGGTGGGGTATAATCACAAGAACTAGAGATGAAAGAGGGAGGTACAGCTGAGAATTTATATTTAGTCTATTTTTGGCTTGAGGAGACTGGATTACTTCTGCATTTTATTAGGAAATGGTACTTCCTGAGCAGGCAACTTAATGCACAGCTTTCCTGTAATTATGGGAAGATGTTACTCCTTAGTGGAGAGGAAATAATAGGATTTTTTTTCCCCTGAGAATCTGTTGAAGGCAGATTCTAATCTTTTTACTGTGAGAGTACAATTAAACAGTTTCATAAGAGAAATGTATAGTTCTGAAATCAAACCGCTTTTCCCTTCTCTTGCCTGATTAGAAAACCTCAGTCCTCATGATGTTTCTCCATGTTGTTAGAAGAAAGCCTTTAACTGGCACTTAACCACCAACGGAAACTATTTGTCAGATTATGTTTTTATCCTGCCTTAGACGATGCGGAGCTGGCAACTGACTTGTAAAGTGGCTCCATTTTTTATATGGCAAATTTGAACACTCTCCTTAATTTCCAAAGGGGTTGAAAATAATGAAGACAGGAACAAATTAACTATTACACAAAAGAGTGCATATCTTTCTAACATCTCCCGCCACTCAGGTTTATATTTGTCCTCCACAAAACTGCTCATTTTGTGAGCACTTGGTGGCCATTATATACAACAGTTTGAGCTCTTACTCATAAGGACATGGTAGTTATCCTTTCCTACTCAGAATTGGGAAAATCAAAACGGTGGCTACACATATCCTCTCTATAAGGAGCTCTATTCTCGAATTGGGAGACTAAGTCACAATGAAATCACTGAGAACATAATGAAGTGACACATTGTCAAACCTTTTAGTGAAATTATGACTTTCTCAGAAGCATTTTGGGAAAACGGAATTCTTCCCAGGAGTTTGAATTTAGTTTTCCTTCAGTATGTCTAACTTCTAGACTATAGTGGATGCTTTAAAAATTCAGTACTTTATAGTTTAAAACACTGAGAGAATAAAGCAGTTTTAAAAATAGGGATGCAATGAGGAAAAGTTGATGAGAGTTCAGAGAACTCCCAGATTTGATTCTGAATGGATATTTTTGAATCTCCATTTAGTCCATTAGTCTGTCCTTTCTCTCTATATGGACTGAACCAGACGAAATAGACATAAGTGAACTAGAAGGAAGTTTTAGGTTACATGAACTCTTCTAACTAACAGAGAACAGAATGGGTCATTAACAGCCATCCTAGCGTGTCCCCTCACCTGTGAGAAATCCTGGCACAGCAACACCTGGGGCCAGTGTCCTGCATGGATGTCAGCTGTATCAAACTCAGGAGGCCGAGCCGGCCTGTAAGGAAGACGCGTGAGAGCTGGGTGGTGGATGCCTTCACCACCCAAGGGCTGGTGGTTGTAGGGTATTGTTCTGTGAACCCCAGCAAGCCTAAACCAAGGCATGTTTCCTTCCAGGACAGATCCCGGGAAGGGGCCTTGATCTCTGCCTCCGTCGCTAAGGGTGGGTCCTTAGCACTCCTTGCTCTCCATTTAGCTTCTGAGAATTGGGGCTGGGCTTCAAACACTTGCAAGTTTTGCTCTTGCTCTCGCCCAGTCCCCTGCTACCC